TGTAATTGTGATTTTAATCAGATCACATGGTGCTTTGATGAAATGCAACCTTTATATAATTTACCAAATGTTAACTATCATCAAGGAATTCCAAATCTTAATATGTTTGATGGTAAAAACCCACATCTCGTTATTATTGATGATCTAATGAGAGAGTCCGATGTAACTTTAAACTCGAACAGTGTTATGTATTAGATTAAATAGAAGATTTATAAAGAAATAAAAAATAATATATTGCATACAATTTGTTTTATTTAATTTTATAACGTTTTACATAGTTACATACACACAAAATGCATTACACATAACTCATAAAATCTAACACACAACACATATTATAACCTTAACTACTATAGTCTACAGTAACATTTCTGTTTTTATCTATCTCAATAATATTATCAAACTCAGCGTAAACTATACAGTTAATTGTTTGTATTAGTGAGGATTCAAATCGTACTTCTAATCTTACACTACCATGCTTTATGAGATTCAAATGAGCTGATGATTTGGCTGATAAATCAGGATTTAAGTCAAATGCTAATAGACAGTAACCTTTGGTATACTGTTCACCATTTCCTTCATTAAGAAAGTGAATACCAGTTCCCGAGAATAGAGTATGATATGCTGATGTAAATAAACTATTATTAAAAGATGGTTGTAAAGCTTTTGAAGGTATTTGTTGACCATCAATATATAAGCTGAAAGAATTAATACCATAGTTTTCAAAGTTAAATGGATTTTTAGTAAGGGAACCATTAAATGCAGAATTGTTCACAAATCCAATTATACATCTTTTGGGTACCTGCCCTAAAAATATATTATCAAGAGTTTTTCCTTGAACACCCGATGGAATTGTTAAAACTTTTACTTCAGCTCGAGTAATAGGATATTTAGCAGTGGTAGAAGCTAAAACTTTTTGATATGCGAGTAATACACTTGGATTAATTCGTGCTCGTCGAACAATAAGAGTTGCGTCCGTAATGCAAACTTTAAACTTTACGTCGTGTGAACCAGCAATTAAATTAAAACTTTCTCTTGATCGAACCAATTTAATACTCATTTCAACACCATTAATTAAAAATTTATCTTGGTTGAAAATGTCACCGTGAAGATGACCAATCATTTGTATTTCCTTACTTTCACTAATCAATTCCTGTCCTTTAACAAATCCTATGTTTTTACCATCCGTAGAATCCATTTTTCCTGCTGTATCATCATACCAAAGACTACAAGTAAGATGAGATTGTTTAGCAGCAGGAGCATAGTTTAAAAGGGTTTCCATGTATGCTCGATATGCATAGGTATTATTAGGTGGTGATACAAGTTTTTGGTTTAAATAAACATCAAGTTGACTAAAAAGTGAATGCAGCCAATTATTTACAGGTGCTACTATTGTAGTAGATATCAAGTTAGTTGAATCTTGATTTAATACTTTTGCCTTTATGTGGAGTAATGTATGAGACAAATCTATGTAGTCATCGCCTGTCCCAGGAACTTGAAACTCCATCATCAAATTGTTTATAATTAATCCACAATCCATTTTCAATGCTAATTTGTGTAGGCGGTAGTGCAAACAAATTCAATTCTGACTTAACGTACTCGCAAGATTATGAAGGAAAGACATATTTAATTTGAAAATATATCTTTGATATTTTTTGGTTTGAGGTACCAAGCTTTTTCGCAGCTTGCACTTTAGCAGTTAATGGTGGAATGAACGAGGTCAATCGTTTTCTTTTAGTTTTATACCCAGATCCTGTCATGTTAAATTGATCAATTTTCTCATCAGCCTTTCGTTTTAAATTCGACTAACTTGCTTTAGACGATCTTTTATTGAGGCTTCCATAGGACGCGCTTGAACCATATCCGATAAAAGTCCTACTCCAGCGCTTAATGCCTCCTTACCAATCACTTGAGCACCACTTGAAAGTAAAGGTAAAACTGATCTAAATAACCCCCCTTAGAAGCTTCCAATACCATGACCGCATTGGTATGGTGAACCCTTATAAATTACTCCAACTCCTGACCCAGCTTGAAGTGTATAATAATTTTCATATGGACATTTATGATGATCACGAAGAGAATTCATTATTATAATTTTCGGATATGTAGTTTAATACACACGGTTCCAAACTGGAATGGTATTTTTTGTCCTGTGCTCGATCTTATAACTATTTCCAGCGTATCAAGCTCTCTTCGCATAACAGGTAAGTAGTGAGGTTGAGAGAAAACGTGCATTTTATTTGCACCATAAATGTATTTTGTAGGATCTAATGAAATGACTCTTAGTAAAAGAGTCATAACATCACCCACAATCTGAGGATCGATAATATCGCAATATAGAAACAGTTGAGATGGTAACCCTAAGTGTAAATTAGCGGGACACTTTCCAAAATTTCTCTCTAGGAGATTTTTATTTGGTTCATAACTTAGTTGTAAACTTAATTTGGGTGATAATGTTAGGGATGTTGTGATGATGATGTTGTGTTGGTGATGGAAATTTCCATCGTTAAGAATTTTTGTCTTTATTTTTAGTTTGTGATCCGAATGAATTTATTTACGGACATGTATATGAACATCGATGTTTAGGCAACATTTTTGAACGAAACAAAGAACTGTCAATGTCAACTGTCATGGTCAATCATCTGTTCAAGTGAAACGATAACTATAGTGCCACCAACTTATCTGTTCAGTTTACAGAGTCGCTAGTGGAGTGCTTACTATTATAGGTAGTTACACATAATATAAAATAAAACAAATTTCGTGTTAATATATTAAAATTAGTGAGAATTAGTGTTATTATATATATTATTAATATTTTATAAAAATAATTGTGGTCGTGGTCTCGGAGTTCAAGCGGCCGAACTCCAGGAATTTCTGTTTTGAAAGACGTACCCGCGTTAGCTACTGATTCCAATAATTCATCTTCTGAGTCACTGGAATCGCTTTCGCTATCGCTCTGACACTCTATAATAAAGGGTTCATCTAAATACGCGTCTTTTAGTCTGTATTCATTTTCAATTTTTTTCACATGATTACAAATGTTTTTCCACTGCACCGGTGTAATTTTATTGAATGCATCTTCAATTAATTGGGGCATTAGAACATTAGATTTTCCAACATTTTTGTCTGCTATGTTCCTTTTCATAGAGCTCCATATCATTTCAATTGCGTTCAAGTTGCAATGATAAGGCGGCAATCTAAGAATAACATGGCCATAACTTTTCATCAGGTTATCAATTTCATATTCCGGAGCAGGTTTATTTTTCTTTATTAACTCATAAAGCTGTGGTTTTGTCATTTGTTCATTGAAATCCACATTGTTTTCTACAAGCCACTTCTGCATATCAGCTTTACTGTGGTTTGAATTAGGACACCTATTTACGCAAATACTATGGTATGGCGCATTATCCATCACAATGAGAGAAGGTTCATGCAGATTAGGTAGTAATTTTTCATATACCCATTTTTTGAAATTAGTGCTATTCATTTCATCATGGTAGTCCCCATACTTTGTATTTGATTTAAATACGAGAAGTGCATTTTCCACAAAACCTTTTTCTCCACCTGCATGGATTATGATCCACCTATTACCTTTCGAAACAGGTTCCAAATCGCCATCCTCTTCAGGACCTTGCCAACATTTCCCAGTTGAGTGAGACGAATGTATGTAAGTTTCGTCTAAATAAATAATAGGTCTTTTTTCACCACACTCATTTTCTTTAATTTTTTGTAGGTAGGTTGCTCTCCATGCAACTGCGTCGTTACGTTCATACAACACTTTTCTATTTGATTTTGTTGTAACTGTTGTTTCTTATAACTAAATCCTATTTTGTGAAGCAATTTTCGAAGAGTTTCACGTTCTGCTTTGAAATGAATATCTTCTTTTAAAATACTCAGTAATTTGGGTATGGTAGGAATTTCTTTTTTCACTGAATAAAATTCGTGAATTTTTCTTCTTATAACACCAATGTCGAAATTATCAGTTTCTTGTTTCCCAGTTTTTCTTTGCCTTTTTTTGCCAGGGGTAGAAATTTTAGAATTTGATTCTTCAGCGTGTTTCTCTTCATTTACGAGTTTGTGTACAAATCGCTCAGAAACACCTGTAACGAAACGACAAATAATTATTGTATAGGTAAAATTAAATAAATATAAGCCCGTGTATATGCCGTCACTATAGCTACTTCACAGACCACAAATTACAAAGCTAGGTAATTTAGACGAATTACAGTAAATTGAGAATTTTTTTTTACTATGTTTCACAAGTACATTATTAGGTGATTTTAATTTTTCATATCTGGCAATACTAACCTGTCGCGGCAGTAACGCGTTCATACAGCTTTTCAAATGGTATAATTGGGGCTTGTACACGTTTCTCTTCTTTCATAAAAGATAAAACTTTTAGGATAATCTGTCGCGCATCACTTTTAAGAGCTTTAGGCATTTTATTTGCACTTTTTAAAAACACTCACCTGTTAGCTCAGAATAAATAATAACTGACAGCGAAATGTCATTTACAAAATGGCGGCCTTAGTTCCAATTTTGTCCACCTGAACAGATAAGTTGGTGGCACTATACTTGTGGTTTGTGGTGTTTCTGATTGTTAGTTTGTGAACTTATACGGACAAGTAATTATTGAAAAAATTATTAAAATAAGGTAAGTTTTCAATACCTAAGCAATTTGTTTTAGAAAAATCATAGTTTTTAGATGTATTGTGTTGTGTGGTTTGTGGTGTTTCTGATTGTTAGTTTGTGAACTTATACGGACAAGTAATTATTGAAAAAATTATTAAAATAAGGTAAGTTTTCAATACCTAAGCAATTTGTTTTAGAAAAATCATAGTTTTTAGATGTATTCTGGGTCTTTTTGTTTATGATGGAAATTTCCATCAATATGCATTAGTCGTAGTTCTCGATGTATGGAAACCTAACTTTTCAGCACTATTATTCTTTTATAGTTTATCTCAAGTTTATAATAATTTTTATGTAATATTTCAGCAAAAATGTCTTTTCCAAGATCAAGAATAATCAATGATAGAGACATTGAAGAGTACTTGTCTGCTCTGGAAGGAGGATATCTGTCAGAAGATGGCATGGAAATGTCTGATACGGAAGATAATGAGGAAAGTATCTTTTACACCAACAGAAATGAACCACTGCAAGACGTAGAGGATGATGATAATCTGGAAAATGAACCTACTTTACATAAAGAACAAGTTGATGTGCATGATCCCCCTCTGATTCTAGAAACTGTGGCATCTAAAACAGGAGAAAACTCTGCTTGTTCGACTTGGGTGTTAGACAAGAGGAAGCTAATTTGGAAGAAGAGTACACTTCAGTTTTCTGAGTCAAATATTGAATTTGAAGGAAGCACTGATCTAGGTACTAAAATAACAGCCCTAAAAACACCATATCAATGCTTCAACTATTTTTTTACACCTGAACTTTGTAACAAAATAATATCAGAAACTAATCTATATGCCAACCAATTAAATCCTGAAAATAGATTTAATTTGTCTCATTATGACCTGAAAAAGTTTTTAGGCATTCTGCTTTACATTTCTGTTCAGCATTTCCCCAGCACACGCAAATACTGGTCAAGGTGTTTTGGATTTGAACCTATAAAGCAAACTATGAATGTGAATACATTTGAAAAGATCAAAAAATATATCCATTTCAATGATAATGACAAATATATACCAGTTAACCAATCAGGACATGACCGCTTACATAAGGTGAGACCAATTATTGATAGTCTAAATCAAACCTTTTCCAGTGTGAAAAAACATCAAAGACTATCAATTGATGAACAAATGTGTGCCACCAAAGTGGGACATTATCTAAAACAATATCTACCAAATAAGCCCCATAAGTGGGGATTTAAGTTGTATGTTTTATGTAGTGTTTTTGGATTTGCCTACAAATTTGAAATTTATTCTGGCCAAGACATTTCTACAAGACCTGAAGGTGAGCCTGACTTAGGTTCTACAAATAATATTGTTCTTCGCTTAACCAGAGATGTTCCACGAATGGCCAACCATATTATCTTCTTTGATAATTTCTATACATCTGTGCCATTAGTTATCTATTTGGCTAAGCAAGGAATACATTGCCTTGGCACAATTCAACAAAACAGAATTCCTAATAACAAACTACCAGACAAAAAAGAGATGATGAAAAAAAATACCCCTAGGGGTACTTATGAAGAAAGAACAGCATCATATGACGGAATTGATTTAGCTTGCATAGCATGGAAGGACAATAAAATAGTGACTATGTTATCAAGTTACGTAGGAGCAGAGCCTGTTTCAACCGTCAAAAGGTTTGATAAAAAGACGAGGGAAAGAGTTGATATATTGTGTCCAAAGTCCATTACAGAATATAACAGTCATATGGGGGGTGTTGACTTGTTAGATAGTTTCTTGGGTAGATATCATATAAGAGTAAAATCTCGCAAATGGTATATTCGTATATTTTTCCATTTGTTTGATCTGGCTGTTATCAACTCCTGGATTATATATAAAAATAATGCAAAAAAAGAAAATGTTGCAAAAAAGAACATTTTAAACTTAGGTGAGTTCAGAAACGAGCTGGCCTATGTTTTATGTAACTCAGGCACAAATGAAAATAAAAGAGGTCGGCCTAGCTCTTCCAGCCTGGAGCAGGAGTTGCAAGCTAAGAAGAAGAGGTTACAATCAAAACCAATCCCTCCATTGGATATACGGATGGATGGTCTTGGGCACTGGCCAGATGTTGGTGTGTCGCTTCGTTGTAAGTATCCACATTGTACAGGATACACCACCATAAGCTGTGCCAAATGTGGCATAAATTTATGCCTAAACAAAAATAATAACTGTTTTACTAAGTTCCACACTACCTAATATCAAATATGGCAATTACCTATATGTATATTAACTCTAAGTGCATAGTGATGGAAAAATCCATCGCATGATTTATAATATATTATATGAAAAAAAATTACTACAACTATTTTAACATTTTTTTATATAATAAAGAAACTTTATCTGCATTGTGCATAATTTTTTTATTTTTAAATCCATAATCATAAATATTCTATGCATTTAAGGGTTAACATAGATTTTGTAATGTATATAACATTTTCATGATCTTGAACAGTAAACATGGTACATGGATATTGAAACTCGACAACTCGAACCGACCATTCACCTTCTAATTTAATAGCTTTTGGTAATTTCGTTGAAAAATTTGTGGTCTTGTTATCAGGAAAGTATTCCATTGAACTATTCCTGAGCAAAGTTAAATATAAACTTTCTTTATTCATATTACTTTTAAACTAGAATCTAAAATCCAACTGTTAAATTTATCTGGATAACCTTTCCACTTCACTAATACTTCTTTTCTGTTACCTGAGTAACGAGTGTCAATTATTTTATCTATTTTATATTGTGAGGTGGGGTTGTAAGTGATTTTCTGTAATTCTCTTTCATAAAAAGTACCAACTATTGGTTCATTTTGTAAATCTGTTATTGTATAAACAACCCACGGAGATCTATCAATTATTGAAGATATAATAAATATTTCATCACTCCAATTTGATTCACATCCTTTTTGGAAAACATGTTTATATTTAGTTATTCGAACATAATCACCCACATTGAAATTTGGTTTAGGATTTTCTAAAGAAAGTTTGTTTGACCGTCTATCATAAAGATTAGTCCAAACTGTCATAATATTGTTGGAATTTACATCACATGGGTACATCTTAATACTAGAGTGAAAGCTGTGATTATAAGAGTATATTAAATAAAAGTAAAACATCTATATATCTATAAGTATTATTATGAGTGAAATAACGCCACATTTTCATTTTTAGTGTTCTTTGAAATCGTTCAACAATACTGGCCTTAATGTCAGGATTGTTAGTGGTATAGTAATTAATCTTTTTGGATTTAAAGTATTTTTGTACATCTTTTGAAACAAATTCTGTACCTTTATCAGATTTTATGTGAGTGTTAAGAGTGTTAAGAGGTGTTAAATTACTTTCAGTAAATATACTTTCAAAACATTCTTTAGTTGTTTCTGAGTTTTTCTTTTTCATTGGTCTTGCAAAAGCATATTTACTAAATACATCAATAACACAAAGTATATACTTGAAACCATCATTATATTGAGAATAAGTTCGCGTATCACTTAAATCAGCTTGCCACAGCTCATTAATATTTGATAGAATGTACCTATTACGCGGGAATTTTTTTCGAATGGGTTTATGTAATGTGTATGTTTTTTGTGATTTTAACCATTCCTTTACTTGCTTTTTATTAATTTTACCCTTCATGGCTTTTGATAATTTATCAATACTACCAAAACCAGCGGGATTAGATGGATCATAATAAATCCTGTTAATTTCTTCTAGTACGGGGTCCATTTTTCCCACTCAAGCCTTTTACGTATTTTAGTTGTAGACTTTTTATCTCTACTGCTCGGTGTAGAAAACTCTATTTTAGTTATAGATTTTTTATCTCCTCTACTCGTTGTAAAAAACTCTTGAACTTCAATCTCAGAGGGTTTGTTCAGATCTTTTGCTTGAAGTTGGTTAATAAACTCACATCTCTTTGGATTTTCAACTATATTGACTATTATGTATACATTTAACTATTATGACTGGACTAATTGGCGTCCATTTGAGCAACTCTGGTTATTTTGTCTTCTTGGTTTGTCAAGACCCATCAATGCACGGCAAATATTTTCCTTAAATGTTGTTATGGTATATTTTTTGGACGTCAAGTTCTTGGAAGTTTTGAACAAAATAAAAGCATTGATCAAAGATGTTATAAATAAAAGTTCTATAGCTAATTTTTGGAACCATCGCAAGCTTCTCCTTGCTGGATTAGAATAACTACCCATTTGATCTGAGTAGTCAGTAGAACTTTTATGACTATTATAGGTCGCTATCAGGGTTGGTTTCATAGTCACTTTGTTACGGTTTCTCCTGCTGCGCACGTTGACAAAACCAGGTGTATGCCGAGTTGATAGAGCCAACGCATCACGCTTGTCTTTCCATCGTAAAACCAACACTCCGTCATTATTTTCCATTACACACGTCTCGCCTTTCTTCAGTTTCTCTTTTGATATTTCTTTTGGCAGCCCTTTCCTGTTCTTTCTGAGAGTCCCCAATAAATGAGAGTTTTGCTGTAGTAAATTATTTGCCAAAGTTACACTTGTGTAGTAATTATCCGTTACGATACTTCTTCCGGCATTCAAATACTTTTCTGACTGAGTTTCATGACTATTTCACAGGATATCTTTTTGTGTCGTTGTCGTCGTCTTTTTTCTTTCATATATAATTAAATCGTAGGTATATCCATCGTCGTCGCATATTTTAAATAACTTTATTCCATATTTATGGCGCTTTCCAGGTATGTACTGCATAAAAGCAATCCGGCCACGTAAAGCTACCATTGTTTCATCAATAGTAAGAAATTCTCCAGGTGTTTTGTATTGATCGAATTTGTTTGAAAGAATCTCTACGAAACGTCTTATTTTTATCAGTCGATCTGCTCCTGACATGCCAACAAAATAAACATCTTCAAAATGCCAACATCGAAGTAATATTTCAGAACGGTTTCTACTCATCACTTTTTTCGCAACATTGTTTGCATATAATAAATCCGTACTCCAATAATCACTTATTTTTGGCAGTTTTTTGAGCCCCATCCAAATCAATAAGCCAAGAAATTTCTTCATTTCGGCAGCATCACAATCGTACCAATTTGTGTTTTTGATGCGTACGAGTTGGTCATATGTACCATCAAATCAATAATTTCGTCATCCAAAAATAAACGGAAAAAGTCTAATTCACTTTGACAATCTGAATGAATATTCTTCATACCTGGGACAGCTGTAAACGGAAACTGCTTGTTTCTTGAGCCATCTGATGAGGGTATATTCCAGCTCGAATTCGGCATACATCACATACATTGTTGTCTTGTTGTTGGCGTTCGTTTGCAGGTAATTCTGTGCTTTCTTTAGATAAACTATGATCAGAACATCTACTCCTCCCTCTCCGACTCTTCGTCTGTAGACGGCTGGTAGTCTGGATCATCTTCTGAGCCCAACATAATAATAAAAACAGTATAAGTACCAAAATGCACAAGAATGCAGAGAGATTCCACAAAAAGCGCGCGAAAATGCGACCGTTACAAGCCGTGCGGGCGGCCGGCGAGTACTCGGTAAATATTGTTTGTAATAACGAACATTTAGTTAGGATTTTGGCGCGAAAGATGCGGTACGCCGGCGGCCCGTATGGCGTGCTCATGTCGCTAAGTGCAATATATAAATGGCGTGACTTACTCGAAAACATACGTCCCGCCGGCGGACCGTATGGCGGTGAGAGTGTTAAATGTAATTTTTAAATACATAGCAAAGATTTTTTTGAATTTTTTCTGTTAATTATTATGACTTAACCTATCACCCGACTCCGTTTAGACATAGAAAATCAACAATTTTATGGGTGCTGGTGGAGAACGAACCTGGGTTGCTAGCGTACTGTAAAATTTTACTGCAAACTCCTAGCTCCTGAGCTACCGGGGCTTGTTTTGAGTCTTTGTATGGCCTACAAATAATTCCTCTATCTTAATCGCCCCGTAAACTTCCATTGCTGAACATGGAAGGATCTTACCCGATGTAGGCAGCATTTGCCTCAGTCGTCACGCTTGGCATAGGATTGACGATCGCAGAACCAGACGTGAGCATCTCTGGCAATGTTGCCTGTCGCCGGTCTGAATATTTTACATCTGAAGTAAACGAAGTGGTTATACCGCCATCTGTCGGAAAACAAAACCCAAAGTCGCCTCTTACGAAATCCACGGGATAAAATGTGATGATAAATTCTCTTATGCCGCACTAGCACGCCAATTTCGACTGTACTGTGTGTATAACACTAGTTCTGCCTGCCTGCCTCGTTGGTCTAGTGGTTGTAGTAGTGCAACTGCTGATCATTAGTTTCAAGACAAAACATCATGAGGTGAAAGTTATCGCAAGTATATAATTAATGATTAAGTTAATAATTGTAATTATAGATATACTATGATATAGATAAACTATGATAGCCACTAAACTATGTTTTATCAAAGTACACTCTGACCTGGTATTGTGTTTTTGTGTAAACAAAAGTTGGTAATAGTAGTATAATATATAAAATACTTACCACTGATGTTTTAATATTAATCAACTCGGCAGAACAAAACTTGGTATTGCATGCAAAAAAATTTTGCCACCATCAATTTATTTATCCTTGGTACATTAATACTTTCTGTCTTTCGGAATTGAAAGGATTGAAAAGGCATCGGACGAATTCGTCTTCCATGATGCCTTTTCAATAAAATTCGGTATAAAACTCAATAACCGTAAATATAACTTAAAAATTTCGAAATAACACAGCACGTTAGCTATTTCTTTTAATCAGTAACATAGAACATCCTTATGCTGGATCCTTATCCTTAGGCTGGATCATTGACGTCACGACATGTGCTAATATGGCCGACAGCGTTTTGCAGATTTGAGGAACAGACGAAAAAATCTTAATATGGAAACTTAAAATTTATAATGCAATTTTATAAACAGAAATCAATATTTCTTGTTTACATTTTAAAAATCTATTATAAACATATATATTTTGATTTTATTTTACATGGTGTAAAATACCCTATTAGACTCGAATATTATTCTATATACAAAAATACTGCTCAAAATGTATGTATGTATAACACTTATTCACTGTGGGATTCCAACCAGCAATTATTAGATTAATGTAATTATAACATGGTCAGAAGAACGTCATCATTATTGTTCGAATTTAGATTCTTTACTATTCTTTTACTCCAAAAATGCATATGAGAGA